AACAAACCTTCTATCAACCTACATGTATGTTTAGTTCATTTTCATAGTAAGTTGCATTGATACAAAGAGAGAGACACCCAAAGGCCAACTGACCGAACCTCACTCGTTCCCTTCATCCTAATCTAAATGTGATTAATAAATGATATTTAGAAGACTTTGTCTTCTGTTGTTCCATCATTGTTATTTTATATTGTCTCAATTTAGTAGTATTGTATTGGTAATTAATATTTTTATTATAAATGATTAATTTAGTGATTAATGGTGAAGTTTATTAAAAAAATGTATCCAATCCATGGCCCATTGGGCATGTCGAGATGGAGGTGAGGATGGCGATGGGGATGAAATTTCTGAACTGGAAACAGCTAGACTCAGCGAAGAACCGGCCAAAGCAGCAGCCAACCAATGCCATAAACATAAAGCAAACAAAAATAAAAGGAAAAAAAAAGAATAAAATACGTATTTGGTTATTAAATTATTTTAAAATAAATTATATTTTGATTTTATGTTATTAGAAAACAAATAAAATTATTAGTGTAATAATAATTTTTCAATGATTATATAATATTATCTTATAATGTCACGTTAAAATTATTATTAAATTTTTAGTTGTGAGTGATCAAAATATAATTTTAATTACCCTTTCTTTATCCACTCTCTCCCTCTTTTGTTTTCATTTTTTTTTCTTTGAGTTTGTATCGTTTTTTATAGATCAGATCAACTTTTTTTTTGATTCTCTTTAGCCGATAGTGGTACTGACTTTAATTCTGGTTGTCGATCATCGATTCTCTTTTTTCTTTATTTTTTTTGTTTTTTAATAAGAATATTTTTGCTTGTACTGCACATATATATCTGTCTTTGTGACATTTTTTGATTTTTTTCTCGGTCGTTTGTCCGTTCTTTTATTTATATTTTCTCATGGTTGGATTTGACGACACCACGATTGATTAAGATAACGTTTATTCGTAATCTTGTTGATCTTTCATGTTATGGACCTTTGGATTGAATTTGGATGCGTGATTTTATGATTGTGGATAGTTTCTCACAATGCTTCTCTCTGATCTGCAATTCTCGGTGTAGTCTTTCAATAGCTTAATTTTGTTTTGTGATTTGTTTGTCGATACAATTAGATTTATTTGTATTTATTTTAGTTTCTTGGTTGAATTTTTAACATTTTCATGTATGATCCTTATATGATCTTAAGTATATAGGTTCAATATTGTGTATTTAGTTTATAATGATAATTGTAAATTCTTATTGTAATTTCAAATATTTTTACTTTTCTAGTAATACTAGTAGCTTTTATTCAAAAATTATATATAACTTTAATTATAATTTTATTAAAAAAATAACAATTGATGAGCATAGTTTTAATTATGTGACTTAAATATTACTATTACCAGAGAAATAATAGCCAAACTTCAGCAAACCTTAACATTATATCAATTTTTCTTTGTTTTTTTTTTAAATACCGAGATTGCAAATTCTCTTTGAACCAGGAAAAAAAACCGCACCACACACACCCATTAAAGAAAACACCAGAAAGAAAGTATGTTTGTTGGAACAATTTATTGCCCAAAGGCGCTACGTTTGGTATCCTTAAAGAATCTGTTGCTTAGAAGCTGAAGTTTAGCAATTCAAGTACAAAGTACAGATAAATAATAAAGCAATGTCTTTCAAACCGCTAGGAATTGGTTTCCATTGAGACAGAGAAAAGAGAAGGTGTTGGGCTTTTAGTTTGGATTTGTCATGGCGTTTTTCTCTATGATTTGTTGCAGGAAGGGCGTCGATCGGTGAGTTTATCGTTGGTTTGCTATGAATTACCACTGTTTTCTTTGTTTTACAAAGCTTCTTTCGTTAGGAAAAGTTTTATAGGGATTTCCTTTAGTGGATTATGGTTTTGAACTTTTGAGGAATGGCAAAGATTTAAGAAGTTTGGGTTTTATTTAGTTTCTGAAACTATCATCGGGGTGGTGATTAAAATTTTATTTCCTTTTGTTTGCCTCCCCTACTGTCATGTTAGGTTTCCAAGAAAGGAAGAAAGGGGTAATTAGAAGTTGCGAACTTTCTTTCCTTTTGGAACTTGATTTGAGTAAAGGAACTGAATTAAGCTTGGCAATTGGCATAGCTACTTCATATTCTGGAGTCAGATTCACAGGGATCGTACTGATTTTCACCTTGTAAGCAAATCGTCAATTGGATTCTAACGTCTAAAGTTGTATGCTTCTACAGGCAGTAGCCGACATGGAGGATTTTTTCGTTGGAAGAATTGCATTCAGCTACCAATAACTTTAATTATGATAACAAACTTGGAGAAGGGGGTTTTTTCAGTGTCAATTGGGGTCAGCTATGTATGAATTATTTTGAATTTGTGGTTAATACATACTTATATCCATTTATGGTTCACTTTCCTTGGCATGATTGATCTTCTTGTGGAATATGGGTTAACAGGTCCGGTTGTTGATTTGCTAAAACCTTAGGTTACTTTAATTCGAATCTAGTTTACTATTTGGGAAAATTGTTCTACTTTCCAAGCATATTCCTGGACCGAGCTACTGTTAGTGTTCCTGGCCAGTATCTAACATGTAACAGGGGGTAAAGGTGCCACTTTGTTGATTTAATGATGCTGAAATTTCTTATGATGGGATTGGTATAAGGTCAGATGTGCTAAAATTTCCAACATAAAACTGTTCAGCAATAGGTGAAAGGGCTGGCTTAAAAAAGTCACAACAAATCCGAATAAAATGATGTGAAATCACGTTGCTTAATAGTACCTATCTTTCTACAAACGGTGGGTGTAGTCTCCATTTCAATGGCATTTGTAATTAGCCACTCGGATGATACTTCTGGAGTTCCATGTTTACTTCGGTTGCAATCAAAAGAACCTTCTGGACATTTTTCTATTGCTTTTTTTTCTTTCAACCTTGTTATCGTTTTGAAAGTTATACACTTGCAGATAGCAGTTAAGAGGTTGAAGGTGTGGAGCAATAAAGCAGAAGTGCAATTTGCAGTTGAGGTTGAGATATTGGCAAGAGTTAGGCACAAAAATCTACTGAGCTTGCGAGGGTATTGTGCCGAAGGGCAAGAACGCCTGATTGTATACAACTACATGCCTAACCGGAGTTTGCTTTCACATCTTCATGGACACCATTCGGCAGAATGTCTTCTTGATTGGACCAGAAGGATGAATATTGCAATTGGCTCTGCTGAAGGAATTGCACAAGTGTTCGACCTGAATTTCTTTTCTATTCTAATTTGTTCCAACAAAAATGCTAAGCTCAATGTCTTTCACCTGATCACTTCAGCTATCTTCACCATCACTCAACCCCGCACGTAATTCATCAAGACATCAAAGCTAGTAATGTGTTGTTAAATTCAGATTTCCAGCCTCAGGTTGTAGATTTTGGATTTGCGAAGTTCATCCCAGACAGTGCAACACATGTGACTACTCGAGTCAAGGGTACTGTTGGCTACCTTGCCCCTGAATACGCTATGTTAAGAAAAGCTTCAGAGAGTTGTGATGTATACAGTTTCGGAGTTCTTTTGCTTGAGCTTGTCAGCGGTAAGAGACCACTAGAGAAGGTGAATGCAACTTTGAAACCCGATCGCAGAATGGGCTCTCCCACTAGTTTCTGAGGGAAGTGAAGTGAAGTGGTGGATCCAAACCTGAATGGTTAGTATGTGGAAGAGGAGTTGAAAAGGGTTGTCCTTGTTGCACTTGTTTGTGCTGATAATCGGCCTGAGAAAATACCTACCATGCTTGAAGTTGTTGAGCTGCTCAAAGGAGAGTCCCAACAGAAATTAAGTGAACTAGAAAATAATGAAGTGTTCAAGTACCCACAGTTTTCTGTTTGTAATGATGAGTCCTTGGGCATCGAAGAGAGCTCAGAAATAATCAAGGAAGACGAGCATGAACCGGTGACAGAGGAAGAGACCAGACATAGAAGTCCTCAAGATTGCTAACGCCATGGACAAATTTGAAGAATTAGATGTCAAGATTTTGTATCTGTGATATATATATATATATATATATATATATGTTTGTTGCTTTCTTATTTTCTACTCATAAAAGGTGTAAATGGCAGTCCATTATTAGGATCACCAATACCAGCATGATAGACCATGTTTTTACGAGTGCTATGGGATAAATGTCTGGGGGCTAACTTTTCTGTTCTTGTATTCCTGTTTTCATATAAACCAAACATTTGGTTTATAGCTTGTTTGTTTTGTTACTGATTTCAGACAACCCGCTACTTGTTAGATGTGAAAACCAACCATTAACACAATTCAAATTCTTGATCTCTTTCTCTATAAACTGCTGAATAAATAAATTTAACGCCAACATAAATTTTAGGGGCCGAAATCAAAAGGGCTTTTCTCTCATATATTTTCAACTCTCGTTGAGCTTTGTTACAACTTACAATTGGTATGTTAGTACAATCAAGTATCCAAACAGAAAGTTCAGGCGTCTACTAATATTTTGGGCACAATACTTAAAAAAATGTTCCAAGTGTTCCTTGGGTAGACATGAACCATATTTAGGTGAATAATGAGGCAATTAGCTTATAATGTTAGATTAGTGATGCATAAACTACAACATTGAGATATTCCACTAAGATGTAACATCTGTTGGGGACTGATATAAAATGTTTTAAAATTTATGGACCAATTAAAATAGGGGTCATAGTTGAGAGAATCAAGTGCAATTATCTCTGAAAATATATATTTAACAAGCTACTCACGTATCAAGCACGCGCTCGTCTTTGTTCCCATAAAACGCGAGTGAACGCCAGACTCCTAAGTGCAGGGTTGAGTTATAAAAATTTCCAAATTTACAACCACTAATAAAAATCTGCCGTTTAACGGTCATTTCTCAAAAACGAATTTTCAGCAAACAAAAAATAAATATCAAAAACGAACTCTCCGCCTTCCTATTCCGCTTCCATTTCCGTCTACTCTGAGATTCATATAAAGGAAAAATAAAATCGTAAGGTGTAAAATTGTAGAGTTTGGATTTCATATGGAAATCTATGAGGGGAATCCTGTCAGTAGTCGCAGCTATAACATGCGGGTTTTGAATGTGCTGGAGAGGGGGCGTTTAAGTTCCCTGAAATTTAGCAGAATCAGAAACGGTGACGCCAACGGCGGCTACGAAGACGATGCTTTCGTTGAACGGCAGTTGTTGTATCGAAAGCTTCCTGATCAGAATCTTCTCAATCTCTCCATTCTAAAGCTCGACGGTTCCCTTTTTGGTAAAACTCTGTCGATTCTCATATCTCATTCAACCTTTCTTTTTCTTCTTTGTTTCTGTTAAGTCATGCTTAGTTCTTATTAGTATTTGTTACCATTTTTAAAAATAATGAAACAAAGGAGAAAATAAAACTTAAAATGGAGATGAAAGGATAACATGATCCACCTTTATTGATGAATATTGCTTTGTATTTATTTCCATTTTTCTTTTTCTTCTTTTTGCATCTAAAAAGTTAATAAAAACAAAAGGAGAGGAAATATAACTTTTTTATATCTTTTTAAAGTAAAAGGAGTAATCAATCCAAGGATAATCTTGTATTAGAACAATATAAAAAATTAGAAAAGTGCTTTTAAGTTTTAAAAAGCCAAAAAATACTAAATCTGACTTAGTTTATGAAATAAAAATTGAATGACCTCATTATAGTTCTCATGTTTATTACTCTTGAATGAGGCTTTGGGATTTTGCAGATGTAAATGTAGAAAGGAATGCTACAGTTGCAGAGCTTAAGGTAGCAATAGAGGAACTTTTTGCAGAATTGCCAGGGGAAACTCAATGCTGTATTTCATGGTATTAACTCATTAAAACTAGTTCATGGACTTTTACATTATGACTTACGAGTGATTGCTATTCTTTTGATTGATTAAACGTAATCTCCTTATGTTGGTTTTGGTTATTTTGAGTTTGGATATTAAATTTGGTTTATAAATTTTATAATGTAGATGAAGTTGATTGTTGTTTTCTCAGGTCACATGTTTGGGGGCACTTTTGCTTGGTTTATGAAGGTCAGAAGCTGGTTGACAATAAGGCTTGCGTTAGAAATTATGGGATCAAAGATGGTGATCAGGTTTTGCTTTTCATACTTGATAGTGGCAGTAGTATTTACAATTTGGTAATCTTGGTCAAGGAATTGAAATAGCTGCTTTTTATCATTTCTTTGTTCCTTTTATGAGTGCTAGCTGCAATTATCTGATGCGTGTTTTCTGGTGCAAACAGCTTGAATTTGTCAAACACGTGTCCGTCAACCAAGCACCTATTAGAAGACGTATAAAACAGCACACTCTTCCCTGCAAATGGTACTCAAATCCGATAAAACCCTTGTTTATTCTATGATCTTCAGTGGTATTAGATGTTGATGATGTTGAGGCATGCCATGTTTTATCTTCTTTTTCAATTAATCAATGTTTCATGGTGCTCTGCGCATAGCTTGTCACAAAGATCTAGTTATGAAGTGAGACAACAGAACCTCGTGAATAATCATAACTACAACAAGGTCGAACATCGAGATTATTACGAAGAAGAAGAGGAGGCAACATCTCTGCCAGAGTTCAAGTTTGCTCACTTCTTGAGACGATGGCTCTCCCACACAACCTTGTGGTGTTCTTCGCGGATGAGGTTGGATGGTCGGAGTCATCCACCGAGGTTCAATATACACCGTTGAGGACCAAAAATAATCGATGGCTTTTGCACTGCACTGTGCCGTTGAGGTCGGAGTCAGTTGCTTGCTTAGCAGGACTGGTTAATGTAATCGTTTAGTTACCAGGATGCATATGGAACCTTTTTTCCAAAGGTAACATGACGAGCAGCCATTTTCTCTTTTATTTATTTCTCATTGCTGAGCTAATATTTCTGTTGCAGTTGAACTTGTTATTCAATATATCTAACATGAATCAATGTGTAAGAACCCATTGATGTGGACTAATGCAATTAAAAAAAAGGAAGCATGAATGAGGGTGTTCCTGACCGGGTCGTGCTGGATTCAGACCCGGTTTATGTTTGGTAATAATGGGTGAAGTATTAATTCAATCAGAGGAACTCTTTTCCAGCCAGAAATTGTAGTGTCTTTCCTTGGACCAAATATCTAACAACAAAGAAGACCAAAATATATTGCCTTATTTTTCTTTCAAGGAATTTTCTGTTTCCTCGTTATCATTCACCATTGAAGAAGCTGTAAAGAAAGAAGAAACAAAATGCAGGGACAATGTTAAATCTCTGATGTGAGATTCTTTTTACGTGTAACATTCCTTTTCTTCGTCTTCACCTTAATGGTATTGATACTAAAACCTAAAACATGTACTTTTTTTTAACTTCGAAATTTCATTTACAAATTATTCTAAACATTAACACATCAATTAACATCATTTTCATAAATTTGTAATTTAAATTGCCAACTAAATCATTATATTACGTCTATTTACAAAAAACACTAAACACTTGTATTTGACATTCAAATATCATATTTATAAATCCCATGAAATATTTTAAAGTTCGAAGTATACTAACTTTTGATAAAAACAAATTAAATCTCACTGATTAAACTTTCAAATACTTAAATCCTTCTTAAATCCCAAATTAACTCATACCTCTTTCAGTAAGAAATGGTGGGAATAGATCTTACCTTTCCAATTTTATTATTTTTACTTTGATTCACAAAATTGATTTCATTCTCATCAAAATGCTTTAAGTTTTATAAACATTTTCAAAATCATTATTTATAAGAATAAATTTCTTTAGTTTATGTAAGGCTTGACCCAAGTGGGTTTCAGATGGGCTTGGGTGAACCCAATAGGAGATAAAAAGGATGTCTTTAATCATGAAACAGAGGAAGGACTAAGTGAGTAATTACCTTATTTTTCAAAGCAAATCCTGAAATCCCATTAATTGGGATGATATCACGTCTGATTTTTGCCTCCTTTTTTTCAACTCGTCATTGTCTCTTCCTCTCCACTCTTCATCTTCCTTCTTCATCTCCAAGCCAAGCAAAGTTTGAAACTTTAGGGATTTCAAGCACCTTTTGAAACTTCCAAGGTAAGAACCATATTTTACTTCCTCCAAGCTTCAATTCAAGCCCCCATTTATAAGGTTTGGTTGTGTTAGCCATAATTGGGTTTTAGTGAGGTCTTTAGGACCTTAAGATTTAAGTCCCTTTTTGGGGAGATTTGAGTTGTAGAAATCGTTTATAGTATTTCCATAAGTTCTAAAATGAGTTAACAACTCATTTTCATTGCCTTGATTAGTGAAGGAGAATGAAGAAAGCTATAAGGCAAGAGACAAGGAGAAACTAGTCCTTAAGTGATTTAAGGATGTTTTTCAGTAGCTTAGCAGCAAGGTAACACGTTTTTAACTTGTCCATACCACATGTAGATCATTAGATGTGCATAAATGGTTGGTTAAGTTCATGAAGCATGGTAGAGTAAATCCATGGTGAATTTCACATTTGATGTTTGTAAGCATCAAATGTGACTCCTTTAGACCCCTAAGACCTCATATAAGACTATAATAATGTTTGTTACCCTTAGTAGGACAAATGAGTGAAGTTGGGATACATTTTCGTGCCCAAAACAACTAATGTCTGAACGTGAGTATTGGTTCATCAGTAAGTGTAAAAACAAGGAGATTTTGGGAAGGAAGTATCGAAACTCTACTCATGAGTACCGATATTGGTGGTCTACTTTCGATACTCGCAGGGTGGTATAAAAAACGGAGGCACTTTAAGGATTCAAAATGCATTTTTGGTATCGATATCGATATTTACCAAAAAAGTATCGATACTGAGGTATTTTTTCAAAACATCGAAACCAATTTTGATATTGGTACTTGGGGTAGTATCAATACCCACCTATAGGAGTATCGGTACTCCCATAAGAGTATCGATACTAAAGGTTTTTCTCAAACATTGAATCTATTTTCTGTATCAATACTCAGGGTGGATATCGATACCCAAGGGTTTGTATCGATACTACTGACACAACATCAATACCATCATCATGAACTGGACAATTTGCCCAATTGGTTTAAGTGTTTGGATTTGGGGGTTCTAATGTCATATAAGCTTTATGTGCACGATTACAAATGAAAACCACTAAAGTAACTGAATTCACACCTAGAAATCAAGCACGTTAGGATGACATAAGACTGACTATTGTGTGATGCTCGAGAAATGGTCATGACACCCGAATTACTCTAATATTATGACGATCGTCCTCTATGTTATAATATATGAATATTGTTATCAGAGTATGTATCCGATGCACATAAAATTTTGGATCGTACCCAATACTCGAGAGCCTACATGTGGGTTCGGGATGTGAGTTTTTGATGCACATAAAATTTCGGTTATTACCCTAAAGCTATCACGTTTAAAGATAGGTTGGTGTGTTTTTCGAGATGCACATGAAATTCCTCCGACCATATCACTAGACCTATCTCATGTTTGTTGATATACTTTTGCATATCCATGACTTTAAGCATCGACGTGTTCATGTAGTGATTGTGTATAGTATTGCATAGTTATTATCGCGACACTGAGCTTGTGAGCTCATCGTTCAGAATGTGTTTCCGTGCGCAGGTCAATAGAGGAACGAAAAGAGCCTATCGCGCAGATACATTCCAGACCAACCATTTCAGAGTATGTCTTGAGTCTGTTAGAGGGCATGTAATTATGTGGACTTTGTATTTATTCGAGTCATAACTCTGTTTTGATTTAAAACTCAGTGGTTGTATTTATACTTATTGAGAGACTCGTGTATTTTGTAAACTTGATTTATGGTCCTTTATTTATATTAAGGTGAATGATTTATCGATGTTTTGTAAATGTTTTGGAAGAAATTTTTGGGTTAGCCACTTCGGTGTCTGTGTAATGCTTTAACCGTACGATCTTCGGGTCGGATCGGATTAGGGTGTTACAATAGTATCCTACAATAAAAAAATTAAATCGTAGAATTGTCAAAGAAAGAATCACCCAACAAAGCAAGTCGACTTGGAAATGTTTGTGAGGAAAGCAACTATAAAATCAACATGTTTATTCGCTCATTTATTTCCTGCAACTTGATGGACCATAGTCCATACCATAAGCTGCTACTGTAATAACCACCAGTCAAACATGTCTTTCAAAAGGTTAAATCATGGCCGCATCCCTAAACTTTTGGCCTTATTAATTACAATCGCAAAAAGGAGTCCTCAACAAAATCTTAATTGATACACTTTGCTTTCATTTGCTTCTAAAATGCATATGCATATCACACAAAAAATAGAAAAAAATTCTTAAAGCAACAAACCTTTTATTTCAACACTCTTCAACATACTAGGAGACATAATGATAGGTTAAGATCCAGCTTAATCCCCAATCCTTGTTTTTTTTTTTTAAATCATAACAATCACATGTAGTTTTCATTTATTTTTTATATTACATTTATTTGAATATATATATATGTGAATGAATGAATGAGATTTTGCATGAATTAAGCGACCTCGGTGGTAGAGAAATTGTTATTATTCTTTGAGGTATTGGGTTCAAGTATGTAGGACCGTCAGGGGTGTGAGCGTTCAGTATCAAATGATGGAGAATTGTCTACGAACAACTACAAGCTCGTACTTACCACGGATTAAATACGAGAGAAATTGCCAATAATTTAACCAGGGAAAATATACAAGTGATCCCCTCTTTACCCATTCATGTTCGTATTTCACCATCAACATCAAAGAAAATAAAAGGAATCTATAACAACCAAACTTCACCACATTCAGCCTCTTCAGTTTTATCATGATTTTATTTTTCTTTTCTTTTTTCCTTGTACTATTTAGAAATTTAGATTCAAACCTTGAAAATGATAATATTAAAAGAGACAATCATAAATATCAAATATACATGCTTGATGTAGATTTGCTCTTATCAGATCAATAATTCATGTTATTTTTGTTTGATTTTTTCATGATTTTGTTCAAAATATTTGATATTTATAAATCTCTTGACAAATTTATAATACAAAGTATAACACATTTGAATGGTTTTTCTAACATGATGTCATATTTTGGGTATTTCCTTCTTCTTCTTCTTTTGAAGTGTGGTGTGACAGTAAATTTTGGTTTGTGTGTTGCAAAATCGCTTGAATAAATGCACCAATATTGCCGTCCTGAAAATCCCATTTTTAGAGAAAAGTATTGAGAAGTGCAATATCTATGCAATTGCGTGTAACAAGATCTGGGGAGTGGTGTACTGCATAGATTTGTTGTCGCACCCATTGTCATGTGAACAAAATCTCCACTATACTTGCATATTATTTCAACAACATAAATTTGTATGAGATGTCATCCTCAACATTTGTCAATATAACACACAAACATTTGATTTTGGAATTTATTAAGCGGTAAAAAAATATTATTATCTCTAAAAGTTTCGGATTTTAACATTTACATCTACATGTATGTGTTATCATTAATTAATTTTTTCTGAACAACTATTAATT